ATATATATAAGTTTTAAATTATATACAACCGTATTATTCGTAATCAAATAAAATTGGTTAGATGATTTTGTTAGTCTTTCTTCTCTATTACATATAACCTATATGGTAGTTTCTGCTGGTAAATCGATCATTTTGCAATAGCAGGGGGCGGAGCTTTTCTCTCTGGCCGCCAAGAGAGAATTCGAACGCCAACAATGGAGGACGGCGATCTTCCTCAAATGAGTACGACCTTCGAGTCGGGAAATTCTGCCGCTGGACTGTCACAGGAAGAGTGCATGAATCGGATTGTGAAAAGCCTCAAGCGTTAGTAGTGCTTCTACTCTCATCTTTGCTCTATTTGTCATCTTATATGGATCAAGCTTTATTTGTCTTTCGTTATGATTTATATTTTTTTTTTCCTTCTTTCTGGTTTGCATGATTTCTTCGCAGATCCAACCATAAAGTTTTTGAGGAAGCATATGGAGCTGGCGGGTTGCCCAGTGTGGGTGAAGCTAATCATGGCGGCTAATTGCAAGAGAAAGGGAATCGCCGGGGGATACTCTACTGGTAATGGGGTAATAATTTTTACCCCTTTGCTCTTCTAGTATATGTTTTAACAAGGGTTTTGGGGTTGTGAACTTCTACCAACTTTGCAGTTCTAGACCTATTGGCCCATCTTGATGATTACCTTAGGTCTCATAGTTTTTGAATTTTTTAATTCAATTATACATTCAAATATTCAGAATACTAATTTCCTGAATGATCGTGTCTCCACCAACGGGGCGTTGATTTCTTTGTCAGGCTGTTTTCTGTTGTAGCAACCATTGATTTAGGAAAAAATATTACTTTCGGGACGTGTGGTGTCCAGACGTAAAATTTTCTCTTGATTTAGGGGCTGTCTGTCAATGGATTTTTCCTGGAATTTAACAGGGATGTAAGCTAAATCCTGCGAATCGTTGGATTTACGTTGGGGCTCTGAGGATTTATCAACTCATCCGATAACATGCATAATGCATGGTAACCGGTGCACCGAGCGTCATTGCTGGAAAGTCGTTGCTGGAAAATATTTGACTGTCCCTGATACTAGAGCATTTTCAAGTGTGATGTGTTTATGGTCTAAAACAACCTTTACTTGTATATGGAGAGAAGGGATTTTTTTGTATATGATATTTAAACATAGCATGGAAAGTTCAAATGTCCTCTTTGTATCAATGTATGACCATGATCTTGATCCCAAGCATTGGCCACTCAGATTCACTGCAAAACAACGCCCAATGCTTTTGAATTGTAGCTTATCGATTAGTTCAACCAACTCACTTTGCCCGGTGCTATTGAAATGGTGCGAGGAAGGCTGCTTGTATGAATTTTCATTTGGACCTTTATTTGCTGAAATCAAAAAGCTTTCATAATATACTAATGAAAGCTTTGGCGTACTGGGAATTTTTGAAACATTTTACATTGCTTTTGCTCAGCATAAGATTTGGGAATGCTAATAACAATTTTTTCATAATCTGAAATTGTATTCACTTGTTTTTGAGGGAGAACCTCAAGAACATCTATGTATGCCTCTTGTTTAACTCCCAGCTGTTAACTGTTTTTTAATCCTGCTCATCAGTTGCCAAACAGTATTACAGGATTTATAGGGTTTAGTAAATCTTTTGCCAGACAGTTTTCAGGATTTAGTAAATGTGGATTTATGGGATTTACTAAATCCTAATGAGTTAAATCTCATTGGTTGCCAGACAGCCCCTTAAATTCAGCGTGAAGCATTTTAATTGGGAAACTTAGGAATGCGTCACGACCACAGGAATGGAGTTTTTGTTATCATCAATGAAATATGTCATATATGAATGTTTGAACTGTGCAAAAAGATTGCTTAAACAGAGAACCTAAATTTTGTAGAAAATGATGGTGTAGGGAAAAACTTATTTCTTCTTTGAAAATGCAGAAAAAATGTTAGTTGATGCTTTGGTGAAGTGTGGAGTAGTGATTTAGTGGATCACTTGAATTGGTAGGCTAGATAGGAGAGGAACCCAAGAGAATTGCTTACAATTAAAATTGGAAGTGAATGGGGATGATGTTAGGATAGGACTTTGAAGGTGGATGTCGATGAGGATTGAGTGTGGTGGGAGATTGTGGATAGAGGCCCCAAAATTGAGAGCTTTTAAATTGGGGATGATGGAGATTTATGCAAACCGGAGCACTCCTGGTATTGCCTTGATGGATTAGTGAACATGGTTGAGGAAGGATGTAACTGAGGATGAAGTGAATGGAGGAGGATGTTTATTTTAGAAGATAGAGAAAGAAAACTATGATGATGCACTTGCCACTCACCAAAGAAGCAAGAAAGGTGAAAGCACCCAGGCAAATTACCAATCAATGGAATTCTGTCACTAAACCTCTCTCTTAAGCTCACATGCAATTAAATATTTAGAGAATCAAATGTTCTTTCATTTCATTCTGCAAAAATAGTTATAGTTCTTAAAAAGCAATGAAAATGAAAAATGAAGAAAAGAAAGGAGTTGGGGTACTTGTGGCCTACCATACTTGAAAGGATGCCTTAATTGCTTGCATTCTCTTTTTGATTAGTCACATTTATTCATTTTTAACCATCTCCAAATGTATCGGAACCATGCAGTCAGCCACTTCCATAACTATCACAACCCCCTGTAACTACCATAACTTCCAATTTGAATGTTGAGTTTTTAATTTTAGAAAATCTTTTTCGGTAGCTGTTTCTCTCTCCTCTCTCATTCTAGATGCAATTGTCTTTGTTAAAATAAGAATTTTCTCCTCACTTTTTCTGAAGCTAGTGCTATTGTAATTGGAATTACTTATTTTTTTAGCATGATGGGATTTCCTGATGAGAGAAGATCAAACAATATGCTTATCCGAATTATTATCTACAAATGAAGGTTATGCATCTTCAGTTCAAATAGTTAAGGTGCACTGAGATTGATATTTATGAGGTAATCATGGCTGGTGACTTCCACTAGGTTTCAAATCCTAACGGTGACAAACGCCATCTTGCTGATAGAGAATTGTACCCTTGGAATAAAAAAAATAATTATGGAGATGGGAGAAAAATTGATCATTGTCAAGTAAATAAAAAAAGAATGCTAGTCATACTTATGCACAATCTTTTCCATTCAAGCACCATTTGTTGGCTCTTAGTGTTTTTAAAAATCATGAAATCAAGAAAGGAGTGAGCTGGTGCATCGAATTGGGATATTTAGCCATGTTATTGGATGATTTTTAGTGAAAATATGCTAACAATAAGTGTGCTATTGATGGATTTTTTGCTAAAAAATTTGTTTATGAACTTAAATTACCAATGGATGTTTGCTAATATTTATGCTAGTGAATTTTTCGGGTTCTTTTAATGAATTTAAATACCAAAAAACTTTTCATCTAATACTCTAAGATGTGAAGTAGCTAAAAGTTAAGAAGTTGTTTAGTTTTTTTTTTCAGTTACTTAAAATATTAGTTATTCAAAATTATAATAAATGTTGAAAGATGTGTGAGAAAAATGATTATAAATGGATATCTGTGTGTTTGTGCATTAGAGAGATTGATAGAGAGAGAGAGAGAGAGAGAGATTGTCTTTTGACACGAGAGGGGAATATTGATTGTTTGGGAATGGGAATGACTTGAGTTTCTTATATGAGGTTTTAATAGTGAAACACATGCATCAATAACACAAAATACTCAATACATGAATTATGTTGAGAGAAATATTTTTATTTCAAAATTTTTGTGCATAGAAGAAAGTTCGTTTTTTGTTCTTTATGATAATTTTCTCTTAATAAAAGTTGAGATAAAGAAACCTTTATTGTCAGAATATTTGATATATATAATGTTGCCTTCAGTTGAGCTGAGCTGTTGGTATTCCAGTTGTTGCTTTGTTTCATCAAACCGATAACAAAGAACCTCCAAAAACTATTATAATATGGTGACTCAATGAACCTTCTCCATCATTCATGAAGAAGCATGCTCTGCTATCGTTGATCAAGTAATTAATTGATGCATTTTTGCTTACTAGATTTAATTAGGTGCAGTTGTAATGGGGTATGGCATTTCATGCATATAGATTAATGCAATTATTACTCAAAAGCTTTTTCATATGTTTTTTAATGTAAATTGAGCTCAACAAAGATATTAAAGTAATACGTTTTGTTACATGCACGCATGTACTAAAACTTTATTAGAATATTCAGATTTTGAGCTATTTTGAGGTATCCTGATTATTACTTCAACATTTCACTATAGATTTAATGCTAATACCAATAATTGCACTCATGTACCGATTGATTTATTTTCATCTTCAACAAATTTAATCATATAATCATGCATAAATTCATAAACAAAAGCCTAAAGTCATGACCTCTATTATCAGAGGTTAAACTCGCCACCATAGGACTTGGGTGAGCTAGAATCTTTTGAATTAAAGCAAAGGGCTATTATTTTGAAAACTTGTGTTTTTAATCTCTTAACCGAGCTAAAGGGGATTAAGAGATAAGACTCGGATTGAGAATTTTCAAAAAAAAAGAAAAAGAAAAAAAGAAAAACGATACAATGAGGGAAATCTTAAAATAATTTTAGCATAGTGATGTAATTTTGAGGTGGTAATTTGATCATCTAGAAAACAAAAAGGTTGATATGAAAAAGCTATGGTCATATTACAAGAAAGACTTGAAAAGGTGGTGTGTGCTGTGAATTATAGAAAGTTGATCAAATCCAAGACATATGCTAGCAGTCCCATACACAATGTAGTTTTGTTGGTGAGACCTTCAACAACCACTAAAGGAAAACTGGCCAGAACCTGCAAAAAATATTTAAGTTAATTAAACGAAAGGTCATTTGAATTAAAGCAAAGGGCTATTATTTTGAAAACTTGTGTTTTTAATCTCTTAACCGAGCAAAAGGGGATTGGGAGATAAGACTTGGATTAAGAAATTTTTCAACAAAAAAAAAAGAAAATAATAAATAATAAATAAGGTACAATGAGGGAAAGCTTAAAATAATTTTAGCATATTGATGTAATTTTGCGGTGGTGATTTGATCATCTAGAGAAAAAAAAAGGTTGATATGAAGAAGTTATCATCATATTATAAGAAGGCTTAAAAAGGTGGAGGTGCATGCTGTGAATTATAGAAAGTTGATCAAATTCAAGGCATCTGCTAGCAGTCCCATACATAATGTACTCATGTTGGTGAGACCTTCAATAACCACTAAACGAAAATAGGCCAATACCTGCAAAAAACATTTAAGTTAATGATGAACCTTGGATATTCCAACTTGCTCTATGTATAAAGTGAAGAATCTCTTTCAGTTCATCTGGGATCTCTGAGGAGTAGCAATTAAAGCTAGTGGCTTAAAGCCTTGGAGTAGAAGCTTGTAGTTTCAAACTGATGAAAAGCTCGTCTTCTAGCCTCAGAAAAGCTTCTCTTCCAGCCACTGCAACCTCTGCAAAAATACTGATTTCACCCAGGTTTGCTCTATTGTTTTCTTCAAAGGAGGGAAAAAAATATAATTTCTTTTTCTGTTCATCTGCTTAAGTGAGATGAACGTACAT